CCAAACTGAGCATTTAATATTTGATCCAAGAGGTGATAGGGAGCCACTGGAATTTACTGAGTTAAGGGAGTGACATGGTCAGTGCTTCAAGAAAATCACTTTGGTGGCTCAGTGAAGGATGAATTGGAGTGGGGAGAGACTTGAGGCAGGCAGACCCCCTGTACTCTACTGTGATAGTCTAGGCATGAGTTGATAAGGTTCTATACTAGAGTGGTGTCAGTGTTAGAGGAGAGAAAGGGGCATATTCAAGAGATGTTGCAAAGGTGAAATCGACAGGCTTTGCCAACAGATTCAATATGGGGTGGGAGGAGGTGAGAGAGGAATCCAGAAGGACTCCTAGGTTGATACTACCTAACTGATAATGTTGGCATTTCAGTTATAAGCGAACACATGGGAAATGGTGTTTGGGGACCTAGAACTTGCCTGATACCCCTGAAATCAGAGGAAAAGGGAAGGCCATAAGCATTTATATAGCACCTACTATGTGCCAGGAGCTTTGCTAAGTGCTTTACAATTAGTATATCCTTTGATCCTCACAACATCTCTGGGAAATAAATGCTGTTATTACCCCCATTTTGAAGTTGAGGAAATGGAAACAGACTGAGGTTAAATGACTTGTCCTAGGTCACATACCTAGTAAATGTTTAAGGCTGGATTTGAACTCAGATCTTCCTGACTCTGGGCCCATCACTGTAATCACTGAGATACCTACCTGCCAAAATCATACCACAAAGGTTATTCCTTATTGTGTTTAGTCCTAAAAACCTTGCGAGGTAGGAGTAATTTGCACAAAATCTCCAAAGACTATTTGGAGACCCTTCCAAACACTGTTATTTCTTCTGACAATTCATCTCTCTGCTTCCTTTGAATGAAACAATAACTTGTCTATCTTCAAGGGCTGGTGTTTAAGATTTTCCTTTTCTTTTTGGGGGAATGGATGTTAGAATCCATTAAAGTCTATTCCAGGCAGCTCTCCTTCCCTCTTCTGCATCACCTTAGAATCCCTTTGGGTTTTACCAGACCTATGGAGTTTATCTAAATCACTGCGAGCTCTTGGAATTCATCTTCCTAATGAGAGCTCCATGGTCCTAAGGACTGATGGAATTGTGTGTGCTTGTCCTTAGTTATTAAGCAGACTTACAGCCTCTCCTCTGGGAAATTGGAAAGAAGAATGATTTATTAGACAGTGGAAGAGGCGTCAGTGTTAACATACAATTCCCATGTTCCTATTACAAGGACTACACATATTAAAACAGAGAAGACTGCTTTATAATAGACATTTCTGCTCAAATAATCACTTTAATTATAGTGATATGAGGTCATTTTCCCCTGGGGTAATTGCCAGATGCTTCTTTGTGCTAAGAAACAAGTTGCCAGCACTGTGACCATGGGTATTTAGTAGCAGGGAAATATATAGAAAGGGCAAGAAGTCGGGGCTAGAAAAATTGGGCAATTCTCTGAGGGTAGGGAGTGGTGTCATGCCTATGTCCAGCTTAAGGGTTTCTCTAGGCCATCGTATAAAAGGTCAAGATCAGATAATGGAATAGCCACCTACTGAGATCCCAAGGCCTAGCCCGCTAAGGCATCTTGCTATCTGACACTGCCTGATTCTCCACCAGTAACAACCACCCTGAGATCCAGCCTCCAGGGAATCTCTCAACACTAATTGCACTCAGTTTTGGGTTGGCTCTGGGGCAGAGCTGCTCTGGATAGGATGGTGAACCAATCTTCATATCAGTCCTCTCTATCTAGCTGGCCTAGACCTGACCAAGCTTCTTGCCATCTAGTGATCCACCAGGACACCAGGGACTAATCATCACAGGCATCTTGCCATCTGTTCATGGGTGTTTCCCTCTCCTCCACCCTGCTCCAGATGTCTTCCTTCTCCTGCCCAGGCACAGGTATATATACAGGGTGCACCCAGACACACCCAAAGATTTCCAAAAACTGGTGTTTTGTTTCTCATCTTTAAGTCTGTAGTTGAAAATATAGTTTTGAATTTTAAAAAGTAAGTTTAGTTGACTTTTAGTCTCTAGTTTGTTTTTTAATTTTTGATGAATAAAAATAATGTCTTTTATGACTGAGTGTTCAATAAATTTTTACCTTAAAAAAATTCCTTATGTGTACACCCTAAAGAAACATGCACGTTTGTGTGCTCAGGAATTAGGCTTAGAAATGGAATTAGAAATCACATCAATTTTGATATTTCTAATAGAAAAAGTAGCAATAATTACATTGGCATTAATAATGCTACTGGAAAAGGACAATTTACTTATTGCCTTGTGACTCCATTTTTGAGACCTTAAAGTGTTTAGATCAACGCTCCTTTCCCTGGCTACCATTCCCCATCCCTGTGTTGTATCCTTACACTAGAATATAATCTCCTTGAGGGCAGGCACAGTCTCTATTTTGTATCTGTATCCCTAGGAAGTTCTGGGCACATACTAGGTGCTTAATAAGTACTTGTTGATTGACAGAAACCTGGAAGGCACTTAGGCAGAATACACCAGCATATACAGGTATTAGAGGCCCTGTAAGGTAGGGGCTGCCTCAGGGACAAGACAAACAAACAAAAAGACCTTTGTACCAAAGAGGAATGAAAAAGAAATAGCAAAAAAGCTGAAGTATATGACAGTCCCAGTTATATGTTGGTATTCAGCATTAAGCAGCACCCAGGCTTGACATACCATGAAGATAACAGGCATTCTAATATCCAGTACTTCTCTCATTTACATAAATAATGGAAACATAAAATTAGAACCAGCCCTTACAAGTCATCTAATCCAACTGTACTCATTTTACAGTTGAGGAAACTGAGTCTTTAAGAGTTTGTGACATGCCCTAGGTCACACAGTGGCAGAGGTGGGATTCAAACTCAGGTCTTTTGATTCCAAATCCAGCATCCTTTCCTGTATAACAAGCATTCTCTTTTGTTTGCTTTGGTCTCTTTCCTGCACTCGCTGGATTCTATGTCTGTTCCTTTTTAACCTTCTAGCCCTGTATGCTGCTGGTCAGATTGACCTGTCCTAATCTTCCATTCTGTCACCACTCCTTCAAGGCCTGACAGATATAAGAATAAGAAATGGTTATCGACTAGGGAATCCAGAGATCTGAAAGGACAAGACATATTTGTTAGGTTTAGGAGTTATTGTGGTGTAATGAAAGAATGTGTCTCTGAAGGTCAAAACACCTGGGCTCTAGTCCTAACCTTGCCACTGACTACCTATGAGGCTTTGGGGAAGTCACTTGACCTCTCTAGTATTGAGTTTCTTAATTTATAAAATTAGCTTGTTGAGTTAGGCAATCTCTGAGGCACCCTTTTTGCTTGAACATACTATGGCAAAATGAGAAAACTGAGGTGAGGCAATAGTACCAAGCTGACTTAATTCTGCAGCAAACTTCTATACCAAGCATATGATAATCTTTGCCCAGTGTAGAATTTGTGCAAAGTGGTGGCACCTGATTATTGTGAGCAGTGTGGTTTAGTAAATTGGAGAGTGTTCAGAGGATGGTATCCAGGATGACAAAAGACCTTGAGTTCATGTTGCATTAGGATCAGTTGAGGGAACTGGGGGTTCTTAGCCTGGAAGACACAGAGGACACGATAGCTGTCTTCAAGTATTTGAAAGGCTACCATGTGGAGCAGAGATTTTCTTTTCTTTTCTTTTCTTTTCTTTTCTTTTCTTTTCTTTTCTTTTCTTTTCTTTTCTTTTCTTTTCTTGCCCCAGGAGACATGGCTAAATGTATCAAAAATGAAAATTTAAACTTGGTATCAGGAAATGCCAATAAGATCTTCAGGCAGCTAGGTGATAAGATGTATAGAATGCTGAGCCTGAAGTTAGTACTGAGTTTAAGTTCAACTAGTTCTGTAACCCTGGGTATGTGCTTAACTTCAGTTTGCCTCAGTTTCCTTACCTGTAAAATGGTGATAATAATAGCACCTATCTCCTAGGCTTTATGAGTATTAAATGAGTTAATATTTATAAAAGACTTTGCAAACCTTAAAGAGTTATACACATTATTGTTTTTGTTATTATTATCTGTCCAAAAGTGAAATGGACTGCCTCAAAAGGTGGTAGGTTCTATCATTCCACCTTGGATGTCTTCAGGCAGGGCTTAGATGACCTCTTCTCAGTTCTGTTACAATAGGGATTCCTTTTATATATGGTTTGAACTAGAAATTGGCTAAGGTCCCTTACAACTCTCGAATTCGGTGATTCTGTGAATAAGAGTAGATCAGGCACTGGAACCTTGCTTATAGTACTTATCATGTAAACACTTTCTGAATACGGAGCTGAGATGGCAGACACGCTCTTCCTTCCTTCCTTCCTTTCTTTCATTTTGTTAACTGTTTTCAGGGGCTAACAGTCATTTTAATGCTTGGCTCTTACTCAATAACTAGAGCTTCCCAGATCCTTCTGATCTTCCACATGCCTCCTTCCGTCTGGTCTTGGAACTTTGTCTTACAGTTCTGCTCTACCAATATCTTGTACTTAAATGAATGGAGCCCAGGAATCTGAGCCCAGTTTAGAGAAAACTGGTTCTTCCTTTAAATTTTTTTTTGGGGGGTTTGAGTGCATATTTAAAAAAAACAAACATTTGCAATTAGGCAAGAAGGCAAGTTCTGTAGTGACAAGACAGCTGGCCCTGGTGCCATGAAGATTTGGGTACCAGTTTCATCTGTGGTATGGGGCTGCGTGATGCTGGCAAGTCACTTAAACTTTCAGTGCTCTAGGAAACTCTCTAAGAATTTAAGTTTCAGAGAAAGTGAGAATCTT